ATTTAAGCAAAGTAATCCCATTTAACAGATTAAAGTTCCTCTAATAGTAATACTATACCATGTGTAGTGTAATTAAGATCAGTATATAAGCAAACCCCAATAAATTTCTTCACATTCAAACCAGGTGTCAAAGCAGAGGAACACCTCAACTGGTTCAACTCAACGTGGAGGACCAGCGGCTCCACGTAGAATTTCTCTTGGATATCTGAGCTTCTCACCCTGTCTCTAGCAGTTTAGAAAACACCTGTGGACAGACGATAACACACCAGGAGCCTCATGTACAAAGATTTGCATGGATTTCTTACTGAAACGTAGCGTACGGTCAAATCCAGAAAACTGCGTACGCACCAAAAAATTCAGACGTATCAAACCGTGCGTACGCCTGAATCCACGCACATTTCTTTTGTACATCCCAATTAACGTGGAACTGGGCGCACGTGAGACACCTCCCCTGACACGCCTTCATTAACACATGTTAAATAGATGTAAATTACTTCCTGCATGTTTGAAAGACATGTTTGTTTGATCCCTGTGATCAGAAATGATTTCTAGAGTCAGGAAAATAATGATTTTATTATAATGCGAGTGAGAAAAAAAATCCTAAGTAAGAACAGGAGTAAATATGTTTGTCACGCAAAGAACGAGTGATTGTGTGTCGGGGTGTGTGTATGCATGCGCACGCGTGAAGCTCCTGTGTTGCGCAACCGGCTCATCCATCCATTCTGAGTCTGGAAATATTGACTTTGCTCATGAGTTTATTACCATAATTACTGTAAACACAGAGGAACTTAAATGTTTGGTAGAACATAGATCTTTGTTTTTTCATAGCTGATATAAAGAAACGAGTCTCTGCACCTCAGTGGAGAGGTTTCATGACGCGACGTGATGTTGGAGAGTTACAATCACATGGATGAGACCGTTCCGTTGGGCATGACTCTGCTTTGGGTGGACTGGACTGACACAGTCCCGATCGGTCTGCCAGCTCCCTCTGGAAAGCTCCTGTAGAACCCCAGTTCAATCGCTGCTGCTGCACGTGCACGCGTGGCGCACGGCTCTTCGCTGTGTCGCGCTCCAGAGCGCAGCAGTACCAAACTGAAAAAGGATTATTCCTGAAAACGGCTGATGAGCCACTCGTCATCGTGGATCAGAAAATTCTGTTTATAAATAAATGCTCTGCGTGCTTTTTATTAAATCCTCCAGTAAGGCTGAATCCGTTCCTGGTAAATGTATTTTTGGCACAACTTGGAAAATGGCGTACATGTTGATACATGAGGCCCCGGATGACCAGAGATTTACCAATGAAGCTGGGCTCAGCTAAAAACGGGTCAGGTGCAACTAGCTCATCGAAGATGGCTCTTATCGTTCTTACCTTTATGCCAAATATGCATTTTTTTTAAAAGTAGTTAGTTACACGTTACACTGCGATTGACAGTGTGACGGCCTATAAGAGAGATAGGATGGCATATGGGCGGGACTTCATTTGAAAAATAAACATTTACTATCCGTGTTGAACAAAAGGAAAGCTAAAACGTTGTTTAATAATGTATTTTCAGAGTCACATAGAGGCCTGGCATACTTACTACAGAGTTTAAGGTAATTTCTATAAACAAGGTATTTTTTTAGAAACAATAAGTAAAATGATTCATTGGTAAAAACAGTTTTTGTGTGGATAGGACCTTTTAGTTAGTCAGTTTGTGACCCAAACAAAGAAGTTTATTGTTGTTTCAGTCTCTGTGCATAAAATGTAAAAAGGAAAAAACAAACAGCTGTGTACTTAAATCGTTTTTTCAAAAAGGTACTGCAGCTGTGATTTAGATTTGAAAGGAACCATTGAAACATTTAGCATTTTAGCAGCTTGAATCAGTTTGGCATCTTTTAGGAAAAAGAACATTTTAAATCTTTCTTTTTGTGAAGTTATCTAACAAAAGATAAACATCACCAGACTATCCAAAGTTTTACCAAATAGATTTATGGACTTACCAATCCTTAACTTTTTCAAGACGTAAAACATCCGTCCGACCTCTTCAGAGTGATTCTGCTTTGTAACTTTGTTGGTTTTTAAAGGATAATGCAAATAAAGGATAAGTAACTTTAAATAATGAGCTACCTGTCCTAATCTGAGGGGAGGGAGGGTTGTATTTTGGAGATTTTATGACCAAATCTTACAAACTGTTTTGTCTGTAATTTTCCTGTTGATCGAGTCTCTAGATTTTTGGATTCATCGACGAGCTTCTGATTTAATCGGTAGAGTTTAGAGGTTTAATGGTGGGTGGAGTTTACATGTTCTCCCCGTGTAGATGTGAGTTTTCTCTGGTTTCCTCCTACAGACCAAAACCATTCATATTAGGTTCATTAACTCTAAATTGTCCTTAAACACAAGTGGTGGTTTGTCTCAATGTGTCCCTGTGATGGACTAGAGACGAGTCCAGGGTGTCTGTCTCCACCCAGCTTTATCCAAGCAGAAACCAGTTCTGACGTGTTTGTCTCTTTGGCAAATATTTAGCATTGCTTCCTAAAACTTTAAGGTAGGTGTATGTATATATTTGATCCATTAGGTGTTCCAGAGAAACTGAACGATGTCAAGTTATTTGACAAAAACAATGTTGAAAAGATATTTCAAGGTTCATCCTGCTGTTTTTTTAATCTAGGAGACTAAATATAATTTTGCAGACTTGATTAGTCGTATCTAAAATGTCACATAGACCTGTTTTTATTTTTTATTTCATTTCATTATGATATGGCAATAGACTGTTTCTGTCTGTGATTGATTTGTTTTATCTTCATCAGTTTTTGTGAACGTCGGCAGACATTTAAACTACTTTTGATGTTTTATTTTCTCCTAGGAACAAATAATCTCACGCTTTTCCATTTAAATTAGTAAAGACTGAAACAGGATTACTGATGGATAAACAGATAAACCCGAGGACATAAAAACATTTTGTTGTTTTAATTCCTGAGAAATTTGCTTCAAAATAAGATTTAATTAACAAAATGTGGAACATAAATTAATTTAAACTCTGTTGATATTTACAAAATTTTAAATAAATGATTATCTGGAGGGAAAAGGCAGGTAAACAGTCTGACGGTGTTTGTTTAGTGGTGAATTTATGACCCACTCCACATGCCTACAGGACATTTTGTGGACCTGTGCATTCAAAGTTCTATTAATGATCCGTTCTCATGCAAAGAACCACACCGTGGTCCGAACCAGCTGAAACAAAGAAATGAAATCACAGCTTTAGGCAGATGTTTGTTTGGATGAAGCAAAAATGTGTTACGAAAACTGAATATTTAACTGATTTGATATATTTTATTAAGCTTTTCAAACACAATAAACAGCTAAATACATTTTTTTGTATTTTGTTTTTTTAGGAGCTGTAGTTGGAAACAAAGCAGTTGGTTATATGTTTACTAATAATCCCAGGGTTTTATCTGCTTTAAACTATCCGTCAATTCGTTTTTCTTTACCTGCTTGTTTCCAGGACGAACGAGACAACCAACCCGAGCTGTAACCACCGCACCACCGTGCCCCCCACACCGTCCACATTTCCATGAGTTTGATTCAGCTCAGGTAAATCATCCTGAGCTTAAGAAACAGGATCACTTTGTGTCTGAAGAGATTTGGTTATTCAGTCATTAAAAACCTGTCAATCACTCATTCAGTCATTAATATTTATATTCTAACTGTATTAAAACAAAACACATTTTATTTAATTTTCAAATTCAACACGCTTCAATTTGACTGTTTTTACAAATTCAATATTAGCTTTTATTAATTTTTTTATTAAATAACAAACACCTATTTATCTGATTATTATTTAATTTAATGTTTTACCCTAATTAACCTACGTATTAAAAGGATTTTAAGTAAATTAACGCAGCTCTGAAGGCTTTATTTAACCTATTAAGCCCCAGGGGGTTTTCTTGATGTTTTTGCTTGAAATACCATGCTGAAGAGTGTATCTCAGCATTTACAAACTCAAATAATCTTGGTATCAAAATAAAGCTAACGCTTGGGAGACTTTATTAGAAGTGTAAGGATCAAAACAGCTGCTGTTGTTTTAGAGATATTGAGGATGGAACATCTTTTTTTTACATTTTTTCCACTCCTGTCTGAATAATTTTTGCATTAGACAGTATAACCCATTTAAAACCACAACGAAGTAGGTTAAAACCTCTTGGAAACCATAAAACCACTTGTGGACATTACCTGTGCAAAGATTCATGTTGCTAAAATTAACTGGAGCAAAGTTACAGAGGTTTTAGTAAAGAAATAATTTTGCGTTTTGTCATTCTGCACAGGACAGACCCATGATGGTACCATTAATAAGAAATCTTAAGATTTTACGTCCAAAAGTTATTAATTTTTTTCTTACCTGCCGGAAAAGACTTATTGAATATTTGTTCTTTTGAAAAATTATCCAAACATTTATTTGTCACCATATATTATATAAAATAATGAGAAAATATATTTGACTTCAGTTGGATCATATTCACTCAAGATCAAGTAAAAAAAATAAACTTTCCACACACTTTAAAACATATTTTGGTATCTGCTTCGACTTGCTTTAAAAACAAATGTCAAATCTCTGTCCTTTACAGATTTGTTGTAATGTATTTACAGATTTGCAACAATCCCATTTTGTACAGTTTGTTTACTGATTGTCATTTGAACTGTTTGGTAAATGTAAAAAGTTTCCTTGATCTTTTTAGCCAAGATTTTTATTTTTCTATTGATACCAAACAAGTCCAGGTTCAACTTACAGATTCTAAGTTAGCAGAAGTTAAAAGATATAAAAAATGGGAAATGCTGTTTTGGCGTGGGGCTCAACAGGATTCAGGCTCAGACCCAGTGCTCCCCCTGCTGGTCAACAACACTCATAACACCAACACAAACAGACCACACCAATTATTTTCATTCATCTTTTTATTTATACTATATCATATTTATAGACTATGTTCATCAGATATTTATATATATTTATATATATATATATATATATAGTTCATATATGTATTTCATGAGTATTTACATATGGCAGTGTTGCCAGCAGTTGATATTTCAACAAACTCCATCAGGAAAACAGGTGACAAAATTCAGTGCCATGCTGAAACGTTTCATTACAAAATAAAAATAACGAAGCGGGCGAAAAAGAAAAAAAAAAACGCGGTGGACTTCTAGCTTTACTTGATATTTTCAGCTCCGAAACTTGTGCAAACGTTAGTGTCTCTGCTTCGAACGGACGCCTCTGGAAACGAGGCGGCAGCGAACAAATAAACAAGTTAAATAAAAATAAAAACAGTATGTACACCCAACAAGCAGCTGGTGCTGTCTGTGTGATGGGAGCGGGTTGTTAACTGCAGCCATGCATTAGCAGTGTTCACACAGGTTCATTCACCCGCTCAGAGAATACACTTTGGAATTAATGGCTTTTGGAGGAAACAGATGTATAAAAAAAAAGACAATTTCATTTCTGCACTGTATATTTTCTTTTTATATAAAATGCATTCAATCTAAAACCTCTAACACACATGCTGTGTGTGTGTTCATGTGCAACAAGCAAAGCTATCTCTTCTACCACTACAGTAAACTTTATCATCTCTCTTCAGATCCCGACTCAACCAGTAAAACAATAAAAAAACTTCATACATTCCACGGACGAACACAGAGTTGGTCGAATACAGGAAGAAGGAGGGGGGGGGGCGGGGCAAAGTCAGAGGCAGGTCCAGGTCCAGGTGAAGGCCGAACCAGGCCCTCAGGGGTGAACTTTGAAGGACAGCAGCTCCTCGGAGTGCATGTTGTTGAGCGAACGCAGCTCGGGGAGCTTGAGCAGCAGTTTGGTGAAGGTGGTGGCGGCCTCGTCGCCGTGGTTCTCCACCACCAGGTTCCGCAGGGACCAGATCAGCTTCTCCTGCAGGGCCTCCAGCGAGTTCAGGTCCTGGACTCCTGAGCGATCTGAACCAGAGCACAGAAGGGGGTGGAGCGTTAACGCTGGAGAAGATTTGGATTTCCTGGAGCCAGTGGTGGGCACAGTTCCCCTAAAGCACTAATACGGGAACTAATTTTCTAATTAGTGCTTTAGGGCTTTTGCTAATTTTAAAATGTATTTGTGGATTAGCACTTGCTAAATTTATAGGCTAAATTTAGAAGCACTAACTGAGGTCTATAAAGGTTATTTATCAACATTAATGATGTATATTGACAATATACGAACTCAAATACCCCTGTGGAATATCAATGATAAATCTGAAGAGAGCAACATGAAAATATGTGACTCATGTTGTCTGTTGAAGAACGTTGACTGGGTTATTTTAGTGCTTTAGAATTAGAATTAGCTTTTACTAAAACTTTCAGTGCATTAGTGCTTTAGAATTAGGGGACCTAAATATTTGTGTTAGTGTTTTTGAATTAGGGGACCTAAATATTTGAGTTAGTGCTTTAGAATTAGGGGACCTAAATATTTGTGTTAGTGTTTTTGAATTAGGGGACCTAAATAATTGAGTTAGTGTTTTAGGGCTAGTGGAACTAATTTTTAGATTAGTGCTGCCCACCACCGTCTGGAGCGTAAAAAACTTTTTTTTTTTTTGTTTCATCTTACCGGCTGAGACGAGCACCACGGCGGTGAAGAGGCGGAGCTCTTCCTCGCTGAGCCTCAGAGCCGCCAGCTTCTCGCTGAACTCGCACATGGAGTTGAGGAGCTCGCCGGCGCCGAGCGCCCGCAGCTTGTCCAGGCTGTAGCGTTTGCCGCTCAGGAAGGTGACCGTTCGCTCGGCCAGGTTGAACAGCGAGGCGAATCGGACCATCAGCACCTGCGAGTCAGGAGTGGAGAGGTTAGCCTGACCTGATTTTAAACAAACAGCTGCTTCTCTTTGATGTCTGTTAGCAGAGCAAACACTGATCCAGAACACACGGTTCTGTTTGAGGACACGCCCCCTCACCTCGAACGTTCCAGCTTTCAGCAGGCACACCTGGTCGTGCACGGGGAGGTCACGGAAACCCGGGATACTCTTGGCGAACTCGACGACCTCCCGCACGGCGGGGGTGAAGCTCATGGAGAACTCCTCCCAGACCTCCTGGCTGGGCTTGTTGGGGTCCACATAAGGCGAGGTGTTCATGGGACAGACCTTCCAAAGCACAAACCATGAGTCATGAGGCTGTTTTTATAAAAGCTGAGCTTTGAAGGTTGTGGTTGAAGCTGGACTCACCAGGTAGGGTCTGCTGTTCAGGCGGCTGAAGGTGGTCTCCTCCCTGTAGGTGGGGTTAGTGGCGGCGCCGCCGTACGGACAGCGCTGGAGCCCACCCGACGCCACAGAACTGTCGTTCCAACAGCTCGAGCTCTCCGGCTGCCGCTGCGCGCCGCCGTCGCAGCCCGTCTCCATGGCGTCTGGCCTGCTCACCGTGGCGGCGCCCTCGTCCTCGCTGCTGTCCGACGCGCAGGAGGAGCTGGAGTTGGTGTCCATGGAGACCACGGACTCCGAGTCCTGGGGGCACCGAGGGGAGGACGGGCTGGAACACGACGGAGACTCGGAGGTCGACGAGGACGAGCTGGTGTCGCTGCTCATCGACTCCATGAGCAGCGAGGAGCTCTGGTCGCCGTGCAGCATGCTGTTCAGCTCACCGTTCTTGCTCATCATGCTGTTCATGGCGTTCTGCATCTCCAGCAGCATCCGCTGCTTCTCCCGCTTTGGGATGCGCCCAAATCTCACAGCTGAGAGGGAAAATGGACATTAGATCAGAGCTCCTTCAATAACAGACTGCTGCATCCTAAACGCACAAAGGAGCGTTACCGCAGATCCTTCCTCCCATCAGCTGTTAAACCAACACTGCTCTTAAGTTCCAAGCTCCCTGAGTTCGACTCAGTTTACACTCTCGAGTTTGACTCAGTTTACACTCTCGAGTTBGACTCAGTTTACACTCTCGAGTTCGACTCAGTTTACACTCTCGAGTTCGACTCAGTTTACACTCTCGAGTTCGACTCAGTTTACACTCTCGAGTTCGACTCAGTTTACACTCTCGAGTTCGACTCAATTTGCACTCGAGTTCGACTCAATTTAACAGATCTGCTTTTCTCTTGTAATTTTGTATTCTGCACGGTATCTGGTTTTTATTTTCTATTTTTATCTAATTTAGATAAAAAGTCGTCAACATTAGACCCAGTTTCTTTTAAACAACTACAACCGATAAAAACCAACCAGAGAACTGTGGATCGTTAAGTTTTCAGCTGATGAGTTCAAGCATTCAGGCATTGTTTAGAACATAAGTTCAAACATTTTATCCAAATAATCTCTTTATTTTACCCCACAACGGAGATGGATTGTTTTACACATGGTCAGTTGAATAGTCCAGTACTCTAATTATTATTATTCATATTTCTATTTTATTCTGTTTGTTTTATTGTTACTATCATTAATTCTGTTTTTATTGCTACAGTTGATGATGTCCCGGGGAAATTCGGGTGTAATAGCAGCAGCAGGGACAATAAAGGCTGCTTCTATTTTTGTTTTATTCTATCTCATGGAACTGGCAAAGCCAGTTAAAGGAAGAGATCTGAAGCCAAACGCTCACCGTCTCGGGACATGCCGACAGCCAGGCACTTCTTGAAGCGACACTGCTGGCAGCGGTTCCTGTTGATCCTCACGATGGTGCAATTCTCCATCTTCAGACACTTCTTGTACTGGATGTTCTGCTGGATGCTTCTCCTGAAGAAGCCCTGGAGAACGAGACCAAACAGGTTAGCCTACGCACAAAACGCAGAGACGGGTGCAGCCGGGGGGCGGGGGGATAGTCGACGCACCTTGCACCCCTCGCAGGCGTGGACGCCGTAGTGGAAACCCGAGGCCACGTCTCCACACACTTTGCAGAGCAGCACCATCCCGTTGATTTCTGCAGAAAACGTGAATCGGTGAGTGGAAACGTCTCCGCACTGCGCAGTCGAAATGTAAAAACATAATAATAATAAATTCTTACTGGTGATGCTGCTTTTGGCAGACGAGGCGGAGCGGCCCGACTTCTCGGCGGCGGCGCTCTTCGCCGGCGGAGCGATGTCCACCACCATGCCCACGGCCCTGCTGGGCAGCGAGGGCCGGGGCACGGCCGGCGACGTGTACCCGCCGCTCACGCCGGACTCCGAGGAAGACCCGGAAGAAATGTAGGCGATGACTCCTCCTGCGCAGATAAGACAGGTAAATAAATACACAATCACGCTGACGCAGCAAACTTTACTACGCCGTGAAGTACACAAGTCAAAGCGCAGCTCGCGGTAAATATTGACCGCCTCGTGTACCGGCTATTCATAGAAAGCGGAGGCACGCCCTGACGGTGTTTGTACACGTGTGTTGCTGCTTCTCGATTGGTCGGCTCCCCGCTGCCTTTGACCTGCTTTATCAACTCCAGCTCTGGTTGGGTAACAGTTACATAACAGGGAGCGTGCTCCAGCAGACGGGGTCACTGAAGCACCGGGGCAACGTTTGCAACAACGTTTGCAACTGGTGCAAAGGATAGGAAAATAAAAAAAACAACACCCTCCAAGGTTGTTACGCAACTTTGTTTTAATGTGGAGACACAAAAAACCCACAAAATAAAAGTCTTTAATTGAGTCATAAAGGTTTGATTTATCAGATTAAAGTTTGAAAAGTTGCACTCAGTGACACTTTCACTAAATTCAGATCAGTTTTGATAAGAAAAACCCAGTTTGTTTTCCTTTAAACAGAACAAACCTCAGACTGATTACCTAACCACAACCATGACTGCTCTCTTTCACTCTCTGACGGCCCACCCACACGTGGACCTGTCATGAATTTCAGCAAAAGTAAAGAAAAAAAGAAAAAAATCTAGGTCAGCCGCTGTTTCTCCTGCTCCTCTCACGTGTACAGCGGAGCAGAGGCAGCGCCGCGGGATTATGCAACCCCGCTACGTCACTCGCTCCGCTCCGACCAATCGGAGGAGAATTCCGCGGCCGCGTGCGCTCGCGGGGGAACGCCCCTCGGCCAATCGGAGCGGCGCTGCCGGGAAGCCCGTACACAGAGGCACATGGCCAGGCTGCTCGGTCCATGTGAGCGGCACCGGGAAGTGGAACACTGTTGTTGTGTCAAAACGTTAGCGGGGGCGCTCTGCTGCTCCTAACCCCGATTTAAAACACAAATAATCCCACACGACAGCTCCTTTTCACCGCATCACAACACCGTAAAACCGTTTTAAACAAATAATAATCATCTAACATAAAGAACAGCTCCGGGTCGATCTGCTACATTATGTACTCGAACATAAATCATTGATTCTGACAGATAAATGGACTTTAATTGTTAAACTTGCTTTTATTTGGGTTGACACAATCAGAACCCACCACCGCAGAGAACCCAGATGAACCCAGAACCGAGCCATTTAAAAATAAAATGATACAAACATTTTGTTCTTACCGGGTTTGGCTGTTCCGATGTCCTCTGGCATCGCTGCTCCAGGAAGAAGATGATTTAAAAAAGAGATAATTTTTAGTCTTAAAGTCTGTCAGCAGAAAAGCAGCGACAGTCGAACCCGTTCGGAACCGGAGTTCATAACAAAGAAGAACTTCTGTAGAGTTTCTGTTCTGATCCAGACCCAGGTCCGCTCTCCTGTCCGTCTTGTTGTGAGTGACTGCGGGCTGAAGGGAACTCGATGTTCTGAATAGTGGGGGCCATGTGACCCATTTGTCGGCCCCGCCCCTCAGCCCCGCCCAGCCCGGCTCACTTTAACCCAGTGACACACTTTTCGCAGCGCCGGCGGAGGGGGGCGGAGCTAAGCGTGGCGGCGACGTAACCGCGGCGGTCACGTTGCAGAGCAGCAACGTGCTGCCCTGGTTGATCGAATTTAATCAACTTATCGATCGGTTTGAAAGGCGGCCATCAGTTTGACTCAAAGTTTTCTCTTTATTCATCTTAAAATTATTTAAAACTGGCTTCAGGTAAAGACGAGACAATATATAAGTAATAATAATTACCAGGAAATTAAATATTTTTTATTAGTCAGTCACGTGTAGTACACGTTTCTGAAAACATAAACCGGTTTGAGTAACAATGTTTTGATAATAGTTTTACCTTTCAGTTTGAGTACAAGTACTTTAAGTTTGAACAGCAACTTCCCTATGTATTTTTGATTTTTTTAAATATCTATACTACACACTAAATACTCAATAGTTTACTACTGTATAAATTATGAAATTAAATCAAAAAGATGTTTTGTTGCAACATTTAAGAGTTACTTGTTCGAACATTAACGAGCAGTGTTGCCAGAGAAAAGAAAATTATCAATATATTATCATTATTATTATATTATTATTAATGTTTGATAGTTATTTTGACCCGATATGTTAATAAATAGTAACTAAAAATAAATAAATACTGTAAACCAAATTAGAGGAAAACAGTTTAACAGTAATGATACTAATTAAAATATTTATTATACTGATTCAAGCTGCTGTAAAACAAAAAACTTAAGGTAATAATTTATGGAAAACACCAAAGTAACAGATGAACGTTTGTAAAAGTACCAGTACAACAGTAAAACTAATAGACACGGTTTAGTGAATATAAATTATTTACTTTTATAAACACAGACGGTAAACAGATCAAAACAGGTAAAAAGTGGAACTTTTATTGTTTTCAGTTTTTGTCTGACTTCTTAGAAATAATAATAAAAAAGTTTTGTCTTTTTCTCGGTGGTCCTGGAAGTCCCCAAACTCCCCCAAACATCAAACAACTGAAACGAGGTCAAAGGTCTTTATTCATTTTTAGATTTTGATCAAAACCAAACCGTTTCAGATTAGAGGCTCAAAGATCCTCCAATATGTCTGAATAATCACAGACTGAATCATGGTTTCATCATTTTACTCATCTTTGGCAACAAACCAAGATCTGACAATTTAGCTTTTTTCTGACCTAAAAAAGAGCAAAATAATAAAATTAATTCTTGTTGCTGAAGTTGCAAAAATAAAACCACAGAATTCAGAGCAGAACTAAGTTTAAAGCCACTCATCAGGTTTTATTTTTTACATTTTAATCAACAGAACAAGTGAAAGAAACACGTTTCTGACTTTAATCAGTTTGAATCACGTGTAATAACATCCGGTCATCGTTCTGCTGCTCGGGATATTTTAAATCTCAAACATAAATCATTAACCTTTGTCCCGACCGACCCCATAATAATTTTGTTTTTATCACGTTTGGAATTTGTTGCGTGTGCAAAAAAACGAACCAGAGGTTTTAACACAAGTTAATTTTTAACTTCAGGGACCTCGAGTGTACAGAGTTTTTCTTGGAAAAAAAAGGCTCGTTTGGGTAAAAACTAAAACAACTTGTACCAAAAACAGAAATGATTCACTCTGTCATCCTTTGACTCAAATATTTACTCAAACATCGAATAAGGACATAAGAACAAAACAAAAAGCAGCTTCCAGACACAGTGATGAAAAGCAATAAAATAAAATAAAATAATAAAAAAGACACAAGACTAAAACGAAACAGAAAAAGATGAACAGAAGCAAAACTGACATAAAAGGTCACAGAAAGATGATTAAAGACATAAAAAGCAAAAACAAGACCAAAAATAAAAAGTTACAGAAATAAAGAACGCTTTAAAAAAATGAAAAAGACAAAAATACAGTGGTGGAATAAGCATAATAAGCCTTTTATTTTAGCTAATTAGTTGTTTTTTGGCTATTTTTGGAAACCGTTAGCAGAGATTGGCTTCTGCTAATTTTAAGTCTACAAAAAATTCACAAAACTTTGATTTTTATGCCATTTATCCCAAATTAAATCTAAAATATCCCCTTATGAGCTGTGCTGGATGTGTCAGTGTGTGTAGCCTGTAGCATCTTTAGCAGCTAAACTTCAAAATAAAAGCATCCAAAAAAATAGAAAAATAAATTATTTAAAAAACAAATACAAAAAAAGGGCAGACTGGGTGACTGTCTTCTTAGCAGTAAGTTAGCTTCCTCCAAATTCTCTGTTTATCGGTTTAGCGATAGCGAAGCTAAGATTCTTATTAAAAGGTTAGTGAAGCTAACTCTTTGGTTAGCTGTGTCCACTGCTGCAAACAGGACACAAATAATGAGCATAAAGAATAAAAATGGAGTCGAGAGTTGACGTATATTTCAAAAAGCACAAAGATTCATCTGAAATCATTTCTGTGGAGATATTTTTTAAATAAAGTTAAATATGTAGAAAATTATAAAACCATTAGTATCCTGGTCCAGAATGAGCCGAACATTTAAAAACTCAAACAGAAGTCGTAAACGATCAGCAGGATCTCTGCGGCGACGCTGCATCAGCACCGACTCATCGGTCCATCATCGCCCTGCGTTCTGCAGAGGAAGAGGAACGTGATCCAGGATCCGGGGGTGCCCTGAAACCTGAAGACCGGTGACCCCTCAAAGCCTGACTCAACCTCACTGCATTTAGAAACCACCATCTTTAGCTCATATCAGCTGCAGCCACACCTTCAGCTACTCGCTCACAGTAAGTACACAGATATTTAAAAAGTTATTAAGAGTAAATGTGGAGGAAAGTTGCTCCGGTCCAACATCTGAACTGAACTGCAGATAAAAACCAGAACAAACGTCGTTCATTTTGTTCCTTTATTACCATAATTGTGGAGATAACTTAATCAGCGAGGACAAAAACAAACCAGACAATAAAGTTCTAAAAATCTGAGATAGAAATAACCCCGACGCCCCGGCCTTCCTCCTCCTCCTCTTCCTCCTCCTGGCCCCGCCGGCGTCCTGTGGGTTCAGGTGGCGTATCGTTTCGTCCACTGTTTGGCTGTTCGGTCATGTTCGGCTCTGTTGGTCGTGTACTGGGTGGCGATGCTGCCCACCAGCGGGTCGGCTGAACGCAAATAAAAACATAATTCAGATTTAATTGAATAAGATGGCAGGTAAAAGCAGAATCAGGTGTGCCAGGTTCTGGTCCTACCTGGGTTACAGTCTGTGAGCAGGGAGCAGATGGACAGCAGGACCTTGGAGATGGTGAGGGCCGGGCTCCAGTTGTCCTTCAGGATGTCCAGACAGATCACCCCCTGACTGTTGATGTTGCAGTGATAGATCCTCGTACGGAACGTCACCTGAGGACAGGAAGGAAACACCTGAAACTCTGGGTGCTGGACTCCAGAGGAACACCTGGACCTGCAGGAGGACAGAGCCCTCTGGTGGCAGAACGAGGGAAACGTTCACCTCAAACACCTTAAAGTCACCTAAACAAATAAACACATCAGCTCTGCTTTTAGTCAGAATGTTTTAGTTTTAATTCTTATTAAACAGCTCGTTTCTTTCATCCTTTTACTTTTTTTTATTATGTAGAGAAAAAAAAAACTTTTTGTTGCCACAAAAACAAAAGCATCTCAATAACTGACTGAAAACTTGTTTTCTGAAAGAATAATTCAGCCATACTTTTATCTTTTGGTGATGCCAAACACAACTGTTTTTAACTTTTCAAAATAAAAGTCCCAGTAAATTTGCTGCTCTCTACTATTCCTTTGGAAATGTCGACAGTTTAATTATAATAATCATACAAAACAAAGCATTCTTTTTAATTACTCTAATTTTACTCTGCAATTGTTTTGTTTGGTTTTTTTAAATCAACAGCAGACGGGAGGCTTGAACCAACCTGTGGCTTCAAGTTCTGCCTCCTCCAGGGAAATATGAACTTTTAATTAATATTTTCTGAATTGAAAAAAAATGATTTGGGGAGTTTTTTTTTTAAATACCCATTAAGCGTTCAAATTTAACAAGTAATTTAAATTCGATATTTGTATTTCAGGCTGACAGCTCTAAAATACTGTCAGGTTTATTGTGAACAAAAACTATAAAACTTGTCTTTTTAAGCCAGTTTAAAGGCAACTTTTGTCCTGAAGTTAAAAAAATCTAAGAAAAAACAAAAAGTGCGGCGACCTTTCATGAGACCCAGACTGGAATGTTTTTCTCCTTCAGCTCTTTTCACGCAGTGGATTTTTTATCGTGGTCACATCGAACAGAGAGGGTTTGATTCTTTATCTGTGGTTTTTAAGAATCAGCTGAGAGGAAACAGATCAGAGGGTTTCAGTCCGGCTCAAAGTTAAATCAAACAAAGTGTCGAGACGATCAGGCTGTGTGAAAAAACTAAAGTCTAAAATCTACAATCATTGCAGCTTAAAAAATGAGTCTGTTTTGTTTAGGCTGAGTGTAGCACCACCTGGTGGCCGACAGCAGAATCACAGGCAGAGGGTTAGAAGCTGGAAGTAAAGGAGGTAAAAAGATCCAGGAGTTTACTGGACGAGTTCAGGATTTGTTTTGTCGACAACATATAAAAAAAACTAAAATGAACGGTTATCTCCCCCCACAGGACCACCTGAGGGTTCAGGCCTGCCCTGTCATCAGTACCTTGGGGGGTTTGAAGGGGTAGTCGGGCGTGAAGGCGATGTCCAGGAAGAACACGCCCCCCTCGTACACGGAGCCCGGCGGTCCCAGGATGGTGGACCTCCACTCATAAATGTTGTCTCCTTTGGGGCCGGCGCTGCAGACAAACATTCAAACCATTAAAGTCTAAATAATAAATGTTTTTAATGTTTGCATTTGTTCACGTCCATCTTTAATTATCGGGCTAGATAAAGGGCGGCCATCTTGGATTTGGTTAACATTGTGTTCAACTTTTTGGGTGCGAAACACTGGATAAAATTACTTAAATTTTAACAGATTAAAAACTAATATTTCTTATTTTTGACTTGTAATATTGATTACTGACCCGAGATCTTTGTTCATTCCTCATGTTTGATAAAAACTTAAACTCAAAACAAATCTCTGGTCGTGTTTCTGTGTAATCTGTACAGATTTACTCCCTGACAGCTCAGAACGTGTGGTTCTAATGCCTACAAATATCTGACATCAGTATTTATTTCCTTCTGAAGCTGATGGAGGATAAATCTGACCTGACTTTAAAGACGTGTGGAAAATGTGACAAATAAATAAATAATTCTGATCCTTTTGTTTTCGGCTCACAGAAGTCTCAAAGTGTCATTGATCCTAATCTGGGCTCAGATGATTAAACCGGGATGAAGTTTCTGGGATTAAGAGAAGCAGGATGGTGTTTACGTCCACACAGCTGGACATCGCTCACATCTGGATCACAAAGAACTCAGAGCTGCGTCGGCCCGATGCTCAGAGCACAACGGGTTTAATTCTTCTAAATAAAACTCTGCTGGCACACTGACACGACTCTGCTCCTTACATCGTTCCTCTTTTAAACCAATAAACTTTAGACTTTATTTAAAAAAGAAAAAGTCTTTTACAGGCAAAAAGGTTTACTATCTGAATAATATTTCTGTACGGTTTTCAACTTGTATCTCATTCTGCAATTTTTGTTCCATTTTAACAATGAATGTATCGAAACGTTCGTCTCCTTCAGGACGTTTCAGCAAGTTATACTTTTTGAGATATTTAGCTTTTTTGTGCTTAAAAATGAAAGGAGCTTAACGCATCCTAAAAACCTTTCTAAATGTTTATAACAGGATTCCCACACTTTGGTCAACATCAAATTCAAGGACTTTCAAGTCCCTCTAATTCAAGAACCACGCGCAATGACAATTACCTGCTGCTACCACAGAGTTACCAATAAACAGTTTTAATATCATGTAAAGTCAATGAAAAACTGAACATAGAAGTTGTTGAGTCAGAATCAATGAAAGAAAGTGGATTAAATGTTTTCATATCTACAATACATGGACATGTAACTATGTCCTGGGAGGTTCGTGGTGCTTCACCTGGGCTCAGAAAGAACGACCCGCCCTCCTCTACTCTGATTGGGTAAAACTAAGACTATGGCTCTCTTTATTTGTTGAAAGCCACGTCAGTTTACCTTAATCCTGAGTTATCCACCACAACAAATGTAAGGTTTTATAT